TCCTTACGTAATTTTTGTACTGAAATAAGTCACTAATTCGAGGGTCATTATAAAAATTTTTCACAAATCGATAAATAACAATAAACTAAATCATAAGCTTTGAAAAAACAAATACTATTTCTCATAATTAAAGGAGACGTTTCCAGATTACGGACGTGAGTTCCCAAAAAACTCTCAACCTAATTTTATTGTTCTGATAATCAGAATTCATCGCTTATTATTTGCCACAAGTTTATTTTGTATTTTATCATAACTCAATTTTTTCTGGTAATAAATAAGTATAAATGAAAAATGCATGTACATAGGATGGTGTAAAATTTGACGGGCTTTCAGAATATGTCGTTATTTTTAAAAAAATATGTTCTTTCGGATGTATCTATATACAGCTTTTATGTCTAACTAAAACTTCACTAAAAACCCAAAACTAGTACATGATCACTTTGTGAATATTTTTCTATTTTGAACTATTTTGTATTTTGTACTTGGTATTAAACAATTTCTAAGTCAGTTCACTAAATAGGCGAAAGGAAAAATATTGTTTAAAACAAATGTCACTATAATACAATAATTTGCCCAAAACACATGATTATACACATTAAAAGTCTTTTTTTTGTCTAAAGACAATAGAAAAATGAAGAGATTTTTGGAAATTTTCTATTTTTTCGATAAAATATAGAAAAAATAGGAATTTTCATTAAAATATAGGACAAAAATAGGACGTTTTGAAAATATAGGAAATATAGGTCGAATCGCAGCCCAGACATTAGATTTAAAATACTAGTTTGACTATTGATCCAATGAGTTGTTATGATTTTTGTCAGATTAGACAATACGGATCTTTTTACACTAGATTCGCATAATTGATCTACTTTGTTTTATCACAGATTCTCTTGTTTTCTTCTAAACAAAATTAAAATCAAATCTGGAAAGAAGATTATAAGCTAGATTACAAATTTGACAAGCAGTCTTTTCAAAATTATCACAAAGGAGAAGATCATGAGATCATTTTGAAGCTGATTATTTCGAAACCACATTTTTCTTATCTTGTGTGACATTTTTGAAAACTTTAATGAAAAGCTCAACGCACTGCATTTGGATAGGAACAAAACAGATTCTACATGCACTAGAATGCCTGAACTTTGCCCGAATATTCAAGATTTCCATCAAGTTCTGCATCTGTATCCTTTTTGTTCTCTAGCTGCCTACCTTTTTCTCGAAGATTCAATTATTGGCTCTAAACTTGCTTTGAATTGTGAAAGTCGAGGGATATTTATTGTTCCACAGAAGAAAAATAGTCCAGTAATCACTAAGTTGAGACAAATGTTTTCATAAGATATGCATCAATACTAGAGACAAAAAGGCTCTTGTTTTATTTTCCTTTGTCCGTGAGAGGGCAGTAAAAATCAAAGTAATATCGATCAGAACTAACCCGTTACATTTTCTCGTTAATCATGTCTATGTTATTAAACGAGCCGGATAATGAACTAATATAAGCTTATCGGTTAGTATATTGTTCTAATCATTTGGTAAAAAGTCAATAGATTATTTACCCATTTTTTTTTGTGTATTAATATTTACCGATAAGTCATTATTGATCAGTCTAAGAAGAATAGTGCTGATTGCAGAACTACCACTTACTAAGTATTGAATAAAATGAAAGGACCGCAAGTTCGTCTTCAGAGCTAGTCCCTTAGTTCAATCACACCTATATATGTTATGTCAAATTTTAAGTTGTAGTCTGATTCATCCTTCTATGAATCAATATGAGCGTTATTGTACAAAATGTTTGCGATCTCTCACCTAATTGAGCTGTATAAATAATCATACTAGATGTCACGAAAAAGATCACGTTATTTCGTTAGAAATCAGTAGCTTCTATACCCCAGAACGTTCAGTTTACGATATCGACGAGAGTGATGATCTACATCATTTTTTTCCATCCCCACGAAATATTCACATCCACACCCTTATTTTCCATACCACTACGTGGTTCTCTTAAAGGAACGGGTTCAAAAATATTAAATGAACGAAGTGATATTTGTTATGCATTAGCGTGAGTTATGATTTCATTGTTGTTCAGACATCTAATTTAAGTATTTCTTGGATATTCATTGGATTCCATGGATTTCTATTTGGTTACAGGATTCCCATGGGATTCGAAATCCCGAGAACCCGCCAATTCTCCCTTGAGTTGCATCATAATTGAAAGACTTCGACTCTTTTCTTAGATTGCACTCTATATGCCAATTGCCTTTTTTTATTTATATGTATTAGCTAGAATAGTTCAATAATACGCTGTGAAGACAACTTTTTCAGAACTTTTGCGCATAGGGTTGCATTATAATTTGTCTCGACTGAAGACATCCATGTCACCAAAATTACGACGATTTTCGCGACATGTGCAGGCGTCTTACTAAGTTTTCTAAGCATGATAATTATATGCATCATTTTGTTCTATTTATGCAACGTAGATATGCATGCAATTTATAATATCAAGAGCATAAACCAGATTCGTGTCATAAATCAACATGTTACAACTTGTTCTCTTCGATGATGAGAATTACGAATTTCAGAAGAATTTGTATTATACTTTTTATGACAGGAAGTCCTTGTTTCACAGCAACTAGCTTATCTGTATAGTTTGCTTTATAAATTGCTTCGGTTGATGCTTTTATTAGTCCAGAATATAAATTATATTTTCTAGATTTATGGAATTTTTATGGGATTCCAGAGATTCCCGTGAGATTTTTGGGATTCTTGGGAACCCCGAGATTTTGTGGGGTTCGAAATCCTAAGAATCTGCCTTTTCTTCCTTGATTAAATGGCTATGAAAGATTTCAAAATAACTACAGTAAATTTGCTAAAATGGCTGAAGTGAATTATTTCAATGCGTAGTTTAGTTTTATTCATATAGTTTCTTTCAAAGGATCACTTTTTTGTATGACTTGCAACTATGAAAGATTTTTGAAACATCACTGAGTTTGTACAATTAATAAAATTGGAGCCAGTTATATCAATACTAACTCAACTGAGCAGGATATCATGAAGCAAATTTAGTTTCACATATAGTTTATCAAGAATTACTCTGAAGTCTTATTATTTGTAGAATAACTGCGAAGAATGTTAATGAATGCACATATATTTATAGACATTATGGAATCTTTATAGCGGTAAGATGTACTCAATGACACTAGGAAATGAACTGCGTCGACGTAGCTTACATATACTTGTGAATCATTCAAACACAACTTTTAACAATACTGAAATCTTCAATAGTTAAATTTCATAAAGAAAAACCTAATTTAGAAGACGTTGTAACGATTAATAAGACTCTGTTGAGTTTATATCGTATTGACAAACTGGATAGAGGTGGAGTAGCTTACAGCCACTCACGGCAATGATGTTTATTCGTTTATTCACATATCCAGAGTGTANAAAACTAGAGAGTGTCCCCTATGCCCGTCGGCATGATGGTGTATTGTGTCATTTGACATCTTCAGAGTGTCACAACTTCATACATAACACACGTATATATAGGAGAGAGATATAAGAGAGACAGGAGAGAGATACATTAGAACAATGGAAATAGAACAGAAAGAGAAGGAAGGAGAGTCATCGAAGCATGCCATCAATATCGGCACAGTGATAACATCATAGTAAAATAAAAATTTAGATACTGATTCTGAAGTGTTGCTGATTTGCAAAGAAAAACTTGTGAAGTACCCAGGTCGAGCATTACGACTACGAGAAACGGTCGTATACGGCCGTAAACGTTAACGTGTACTGCCGTTTCTCATCGTAAATGGTCGTAACTTGACGTTTTGGCATGCACAGTACTACAGCCGTAATTAATCGTGTCGTAAACGGTTACTAACGACCGTAATGTGGTCGGATATTTCCGTATCCGATCGTTTATGGCACGATACAAAAACGACCGTAATACGGTGCATACCAAACGGCCGTGTACGACACAAGTTGATCGACCTGGGTATCACTTTTGTCTATAGTGCCAGCGAAATTTTCTTTTAAAAGTTGAATATTCTATAACTTATTTAACACTCAAATATATCGATTCAATTTCTGGTTGCTTACTTCTCAGTGCAGATAAATTTCAAATATTCTTTATACCCAGGGGAATGAATCCTATGATGGATCCTATCGGATCTGATGGGATTCCGGGTTACAGATTGACTGTCGGTTCCGACGGAAAAAAAACATTTTCTTAATTAGGGGTGAATATGCATATTTTCTCATAAGAACACTAGGGCCATACGTTCATGTCGGATTCCGTTAATTTCCAACACTGGATCCTATGGAATTCCTACATCAAGGATCCGACTGTAGGTCCTGATCCCGGAATCCTATAGGATTTCGTTGGTTTCATTGGAATCCATGGATATTTGGCATATTCACTGTCTGACCCTTGTCGGAATCCGATAGGATCCTAGTCTCGGAATGACTCTCCTGGGTAGCTATCAATAAAAGTTAATAATCTAAAGGGATGAAGAGGAAAAGAGAAAATAACGGCCGATCTTACTATAAAAGATATTCTAATAATAATAATAAAATATCTATTAATATTTCAATAATTCTTCTGCAGAAACAGAGAGAACTTTATAAGTAGGATACGATGGAATGTCAAATCCATTCGTTGTATATTATCATACTTCCTCTTATAATAAATTATGGCTACTTTTATTAATGTTGAAGATATTCATGTGGAGAAAAGAATTCGGTGATTCACCACTAAAAAATTTAATTTTACAAATTAATAATAATTATCCTGTGAATTAATTTGGTACTTTTCTTTCAATAACATACTCTCATTCACCTATGACATTTTTTTCGTTCATATACGACATCTATTCTGGATATTCTCTTTCTCTATTAATGATGGTGTGCTCATAAGCGAATAGATATGGATTTTATTGTTAAAGTGTGCTTGTTCTCTGCACATGTACCTTCTTACACCACAATGCGTATCACGCTAGCCTTTCACGATGTCACAACCAACTACAACGATACTACGTCTAAATGTAATGGCCGTATCTACTTCACCAACAGTAGCGTCAATTTCAACAGCAATACCATCGGCATCTACAGCAGCTCCAAAAGATTTCTCTGTGAGAGTACCTAACCGTAAGTAAGTCATATACTATTCATGATCTGGATGCCAATTATTATCAGTAAAATAATTTGATAGAGAAAAAAAATTACAAGGATTCTACTCGTTTATAGTTGAGATAGATCATTGTATGTTTTCCAACAAATTATATTAATAATTCTTCATTCTTTTTTTAGAACTCGAGCTCAAT